TGACCCATACTTAAATCCAGCGCCTGCGAACAGCCAATAAATTTCCAGGCAAGAACGGGAAACGAAGGTCTCCCCTGTCATTCGGGGGTCCAGAACACGATAACACTCCTCTCCTTATTGTTACCACAAGTGAATGCGCCCGGCCGCACATCTGCCGCCGATTGAACAAACACAAACAACTTGTGCTGGCAGAGGATTGATACGCACAAAGACACAAAGCGTGATGTAGCTCCCCTTTCCTAAGCTGCTGGCTTGCTGAGCGTAACCGAAACTCGCTGCATCTTCTTGTAACGGGCACAAGCGATATGGGCCACGGATAACCCGCACGCATGAAACTAATCAGACGTTGTAATCTAAAGGGCCCAATGTGGCTTGTGTGTTGGTGACAAATAAAACCTAGCAAAATCAATGTCGTCCTGTAGATTTCAGGCGCATGGCTATTCGAATTCGGATGATTCATCGATGGTCGACTTGCTCATATCTTCACCCTACTTCACAATTTTGTGGAAAAAGTTATTTCTATGTTTTTGAGAAAGGGTACACTTTCTGATTTGACTCGTGGAATAACAAGCTTTCTTGTCATCGACACACCGGGCTTGGCTTGTGGTGAAATGGTGCCGACGTAGTGCAAAACCTAAGAAGAAAATAAGATGCTTCGAAGTATCCAAATAGTACTGTTCCGCCTTGTCTTAGTGTCTTAGTGGCGTACTACAGCTTCTAGGAAATTTCTTAGGCTCCTTATTTGTAAAAGGGCCTATTCTCAGTAAATGTGCAAAAAACAGAGCAAGTTCATCGCCGAAAAACTAGAGTGCGGGCCTTAATGACCACGTGGCTGGGGAATATGTGCCGCATTAAGGGATTCATTTCAGTACTTTCATAAAACCAACCTTTCTGCCGTGTGCCCCTTGTAATTTCACACCATTTGAGGAATTTACAGTTTGCATACAAGGGCTATGAGTCAACTGGGTAGGGCGCTGGGCATGTGCTTGTCCCTCTCTTTGGGGCCAAGACTGTTCTCGATTGATTCCTGTCGTACCAATAGCTTCTTAGAATGTCGCCGTGATCGAAGCCAAGCTTGATAAGCTCCACATTCATCACCTTCAAAGGGATAACCGAAATGCTCTTCGCGTCATCGCCTGCTTTGAGTCGCCCGTAGACTCTCCCAACGTAAGCAGCACTGATCGTGTGCCGCCGGTCATCCCGATCAGGATGGCTGTAGACGCCAATTAGACGGACGGAGTGAAGGGTGTTCGTGCCGATCTCTTCCTGCACCTCGCGATGCAAAGCTTCTTCCGTGGTCTCTCCTGTCGGACGTGAAGACGAGGGAATTCAGAAGGAGGATGAGAGGGCTGGCAGGCCGTGTAGGGTTAGGATTACTTGTCATGGAGAGACTTTGTGGTGGATTGTAGAAAAGGACGGTATACCTCACCTAGCTGAACAAATCCGCCCACGCAGGCTGTAATCGATCTATCCCTTCTTTTAATGAAGACAAGGGCCGTCACGGGGCCTTCCTTGGTCTCACTGTACTCCAAAATAGCGTCCACGGCGACCGAGGGGCCGCACAGGCAGAAATCGTCCTTGGCAGAACAAAAGCAAGAGCCTTTGTGGGTGGGGGAAATCCCTTGCACCTGCCACACAAATGGGCCGCGCTGTTTTCCAACCATGCGCAGGTGACGGATGCTGATGAATAATGCATACATGATGACGCCTGGGAAGAAGTATTTCAGAAAGGTAAGCCTGTGCTCTCTCAAGGCACGCGACTTTCACCAAAAAATGACATACAGCTAAAAAGCTCATAGTGGCAACACAAATGAGAAAATTGACGTTGTCGGAGACTCTTTTACCGAGCCATACTACAGCAAGCGAAAAATTAAGCGGTGACAGGGTAATAGAGCCACAAGCGGCAATATCACCAATGTAGCACAGTCCCTCCTTCATGCCTTTCCTCCATATGCCACACACCTGTATAGATAGGATTGTACTGCATGAAACGCCACAATGATTGGAGGCCTTTTCGAAATCCTTGTATTGGGGGCCCGCTGGGGTTGGCGGATGCCCATCTGGGGTTGTACTGAAGGGCCTCCATCTCGCCTGTTGACTTTTTAGTGAAGGGAAAAAAGGAAGATTGAGTTTTCCAAAAATGTACATGGGTGAGGACGAAAGGTACTCTTTTCGGAGTATGTTGCCGTGGGCAAGATATGCTACAATAAACATATATTTTTGGGGGGTTACGGGGGACTGGAAAAGAATTATAGGAGTGGAAGGGCGGGGCGGGCAATAATTCCCTAGACTGGGACAACACTGCCGCAATTTCACGCATAAACATTCAACAAAAAGCGAGGCATCGGTGACTTCCCTCTCCACAGTCCCGTGCTGGGAAAAACCGGGGGAAATGTGCCAGTTGAGGTGCCCGCCTACCCAGTGGTGTTTGTAGCGTCAATGTATGACCCGAATCTTACGGCAAGCCGATGCGACGGTCAGGTCCTGGATGTGGGCTGGCTTTCCATCACCATGGTCCCACACCGCCGTCCGGGTGCTGAACGATTGGGGTTTCCATCCCACACACGACGCGGAGTGCTGGACAGGCTTGGGATTCGTGGGGTTGGTCACTACGCTGAGGTCATTTTGACCGCCGGGTGCAAGTGCGCTGCCCGTCCACTCTGAAGTTTCTTTCCTTTTTGATCAGGGTCCACGCCGGTCCAGGGAATGGAGACACCTGCCTACATTTTTCATAGGCTACCACGCAACATTATTTTTATTACTATTTTTGTGGTTGGGATGTAATTACGGGTTTCTAGGCGCCGAAATTTCTACAGGGAAAGAAGCCTGTTTTTTTCTTGGTTGCCATCCCTTGACTCCTCATCTGAAGTGCTCACTTTGCTCTTTCCTCTCTTCTGCCACGCTCTCAGGCACCATGTCACCACGATCAATGCCCGTTCTACTGGTTGCCGTGCTTGCAGTCCTCTGCACAGCGTCGGTCACCGCCTTTCATACTCCCTCTTCTCCTTCTGCCCCCAGCATTTGGGGAGCGAAACGCGGCGCAGCTTCAGCTGCTGCTCTCACCACGCGCCGCCAAGCCGCTGCAGATGGCGAGGCAGTCGAAAACGTCTTGTCTCCCAAGCAAGAACGGCGTCGCATTATCCAGTCGCCCAACTTTCACCGGCAAGGGTTCAAGGCTGAAAGCGAGGGGGTGGAAAGCCAGATGGTTTCAGAATTCACTTCCCAACTCATCAACGAGATGAAGGACTCGACATACACCTTCCAAAAAGGGGACTTGACAATTAAACTGGCAAAGAGCTTCGGATTCTGCTGGGGCGTGGAGCGTGCGGTCGCTATGGCTTATGAGGCGCGTGCGCATTTCCCTGAGCAACGCATCCATATCACGAACGAAATCATTCACAATCCTGGTGTGAACGAACGTTTGGCAGACATGAACATCGACTTTCTGCCTGTCGACGAAGGTAAAAAACAGTTTGAGCATATCGAGAAGGACGACGTGGTGATCCTCCCTGCATTTGGGGCGACGATTCAAGAGATGCAGCTCTTGGACAAGAAGGGGGTACAGATCGTGGATACCACATGCCCGTGGGTAGCAAAGGTCTGGACCGCGGTTGAGAAGCACCGAAAATTGGAGAGCACGAGTGTGATTCATGGGAAGTGGAACCATGAGGAGACCATCGCCACGGCCAGTTTTGCGGACGTTTACATCATCGTGAAGGATATTCACGAAGCGGAGTACGTCTGTAACTACATTGTGAACGGAGGAGACAAGGCAGAGTTCATGGAGAAATTCAAAAATGCCGTGAGCGAAGGCTTCGACCCGGACGTGGACCTGGAGAAGGTAGGACTGGCGAACCAGACGACCATGTACAAGCGTGAGACGCGAGCCATAGGGAAGCTGTTTGAGAAGACGATGATGCACAAGTATGGACCAGCAGAGGTCAAGAATCACTACGCGGAATTTGACACGATTTGCGACGCCACGCAAGAGCGGCAAGATGCCATCACGGACCTGATGGAAGAGAAACTGGACTTCATCTTGATCGTGGGCGGCTTCGACTCGAGCAACACGGCGCACTTGAAGGAAATACCGCACATGCAGCACATTCCCTCCTTCCACATTGATCGGGCCGAGCGGATCTCCGCCGATGGCTCCATCGAACACCGGGAGATCGACGGCTCGATCGTCAAAACGGCAAACTTTCTCCCCGACGGGCCCTTGACGATCGGAGTGACCTCCGGGGCCTCAACCCCCGACGCCTACCTTCAGGAAGCGATCGAACGCTTATTCTTGTTGCGGACTTTGAAGGGCCAAGAGGCTCCCCAGAAAGATACAGTGAATGCGTGAGCCTTGGGAAAAGGGGGAGGGGGCCAATGGAGGGAACGGCCAGTGCCAGTGTGGCGTGCCTCGGGAGGAGGCGGATGCCTGGATGAAGGAAGTCTGTAGCATACTTTTTTTTACATTTGAAGCGTACGGGAGGCGTCACGGTCCCCGTTAATGATAGTTGTGTTTCCCCCAGTCAGTTTAATGCTGCACGCTGAGGACAGAGTAAAAGATGAACAAAAATGATGTCACGGTCGCGTGTGTCAAGACACGGGGAGTTTGGGTGAGGGGAGTCACGACGTGGGCGAACAGGCCACTCGGTAGGGTGGGGATGACATGATACCGTAATTGAAAGAAGAACCAAAACTTTGACATAACGAGACGTAGCGGCTCGGCCCTATTCCTTTTCGCACGCCCGATCGACACGAGTCGCGCTGAGGCCTTTTGTAGTGTTCGATGCTCGATTCATCCTCGCCAGTTGTTCACGTGCGGCAGTTCAGATTCTCTCACCATCTCATCCCGCACGATATTTCCTCCTCTGTTGAGAGTGACCAGCCTCGTCGATCCCTCCAATGCCGTCGCCGAGTGTCCTATCAACACCACCGTGCTCGCCTTACACTCACGTAAAAGCTGTCGCAAAACCTCCCCCTGATTCATAGAATCCAATGCAGTTGTACCCTCATCCACTACCAGTACTATTGGTTTCAAGAGCATCGCCCTTGCGATGGCCAAGCGTTGCTTTTGCCCTCCAGAAAGGACCAACGCCCGCTCTCCTATTTGCGTGTCGTATTGCTGAGGCAGCCGAGAGATGAATCGGTGCGCATTGGCAAGCGTCGCAGCTTCGACGATCTCAGCATGGCTGGCAGAGGGCTTTCCCAAAGCTATGTTTTCCCTCACGGTACCAGAAAACAAGAGAGGCTGTGACAAAAAGGATTGAGGCCTCCAGTCAGTTGCAACACCTTGATCGCAAGAACCAACCCAGTTCCGGTTCACGGTATATTCTACGACAAAGAATTGGACAGCCTGGATAGGGAAGTGCTCCTACGATTTTCCTTTCATCGAGAAATTACCTCCTGTGTGATGACCACGACCGTCCTTCGCAACCATGCCGGATCGAGACTCGCCACGTCGTATCCATCGAGCAGGACCTGCCCCTGAAGTGGAGCGTACATCCGGGTTAGAAGGAGGGCAAGCGAGCTCTTTCCGCATCCGCTCGGTCCTGTGATGCCCAGATTTTCTCGAGGCTTAAGCTGTACGAAGGAGAGTGCAAAACCGTGGGGGAAAGACTGTCGGCTGACGGATTCATAGAGTGCAGGGAAAGGGATCGACCGGGAGGCACGGAACCTCAAAATGGCACCATCAAGGACAGAATATCTGATAAATCGCAAGAGTCGACAACGACTTACCATCAAATTGAAGCCCTCTAGCACTGGGCTTGCTGGGCGCGTTGGGTACGCAAAGGTCACGTCCCTGAACTCGATACAACCCCGGATGGCTTCCGCCGGAGGGATAATCGCCCCCCTCTGCATCAGTGGCCGTGTTTCCAGAAGCGCGTAAAGCCTCCCCGCGGCGCCTTGTGCACGAATAACCCCCGCCACCCCGTCCGTGGCGTCCTTCATTGCCTCGCTCAGGCTTGTGGCATACAAACAGTAACTCGCGAGCCCGCCTACCGTCAAAACACCCTCCAACACCTTCCCTGCCCCGAGAAATAAGACTCCTAGCAACGCAAAATTGGACACAGCGAAGATAGCCGCCACATACACTCCTTCGGAAACGGCCAGCCGCTTGGCCAACCCCAAAGATTCGTCGATGATCTGCCCGTATCGTTCCTTCTCACGAATTTCGGCTGCGAAATGCCGAACCACACGAATGCCAGCCATTTTTTCTGCCGCATGCTGCGTGCTTTTGGCCAGGCTGTTGAGAAGGGACAACGACAGCTTTTTCACGACCTTGGAGTACTGGGCGGCCCCCAGGGCGATCGCAGGCACGACGGAGAGCGTGATCACGCTGAGGGAGGGAGATATGTACAGAAGCATTCCCGCAGACGCGGTCGCCATGACGGACGCGTGCAAAAATTTCGAGATGTTCTCGACGAGGTGCTCGGCGACTTCGTGGACGTCGGTAGAGAGGCGATTGGCAAGCTCACCGGATTTGTTCACGTCGAAGAAGGCCAGGTCTTGGTCAAGCTGGGGGGATGGAAAAGGCGTGCGGGTTCAGAAGTGTGATCGATCACCGTGCCTGCCCTCCGGCAGGATTCAATCAGCGTTGCTATCCATGTAAGAAGCGTCATCGATACGATCTAGGACTGAGCACGTGGCTCTTCGACAACCCTTCGCATGGTGCCCCCCCCCAACCACGTACTATGTTGCCAAACAAGCGCTTTCGCAAGTTCATCGAGATCCTCTGCCCCACAATATCCAGTTGACTGGTGCTCGCATAGGTGGCTGCCGTTCCGGCCAAACCCACGCCCAGCATAGCCATCGCGTTCTCTTGCAGTCCAGACAAAACCGCAGTGTTGCTGTGGAGGGCGTCCGTATTTTCCCCAACTGTGGCTGAAAGCAAGTCTACTACACTGCCAAAAATATAAGGTATACACAATTGACACGCAGATGCGACTCCAATGCCAGCCAATGCCACGGTAAACGTCTTCTTTTCCTGAAGCAGGAGGTGGCCCATCTCCTTGAGGGAAACAGGGCGCTGCTCTGTCGGTTTGCCAACATCCAGGCGCGTGACTGCCGGTGTGACGCGAAATTGACGCCAACCATTAAGAAACAGTAAAGATTGCCGCCGAAAGGGTCGGTGTTGCCTCGTAGCATTCGTCACCAGGCAAGCCTTGAGTACATGCATTTGAGGGGGCCATCTCGTGGACCTTCGTAATACTCCCGGGAAATTCTGCCGAATACAACAGCCCGCCAGGCCTGGGTGCCACATGATAGATCCCAAGTCCTCCCGTCCCTGTGTAGAGCAAAACAGGCATTTGTCAGACTGTAAAATATGTCCAGGGAAGCTCCCAAGTTGATGCATGCTCGCACGCGTTCATCGCTAGGAGCGGCACAGCGAGTGCTTCTCGACTCGTTCCATTATCGACCAGGCACGAGCATACCAGCCTTTGTAGCCTTGATGGTGTTTCTTGGTGATTTGTACGTAGGCGTCCAATAAAAGTGGGTGAGAAGCAACTGATTTAGTGCCAAAAAACGACGGAGCGCAAGCCAGCTTTGACTCCATCGGTCCCGCACTCCAAACTTTGAAGGGGAAACAAGAGATGAAAAGAAATACATTTCACCGCTTTGTAGGCCCTTTCTCCCCCCCTTAATTTTATTTTATGCCACGCCTGCAAAGTTTGGCTAAACGATACAGTCAGCTGCAAAATAGTCATGAATTTATGTCCCTCGGCTGCAAGCAGAAAAATTGGTCAAAGTAATACATGTATTTGGAGAAATGACGGCATTTTCGGAAGTCCTAACCAATGTTTACCTATCGACTTCCTCATAGGTTGCTGCGTGATTGTATCCCAGTTAACTGACTTTTTTAAAAAAAGGTAGCGAACCTAACGTATGAGATAAATTATCATCACGCCTTCCACCTGTGTCGGAGTTGATCATTCAATTTCTTTGGATCTACTTGTCTCCATTCGTTTCGACAAGTCCAGAATTAATACTCATTCTGAGACGACCCTGATGCACGAAAGCTCTATTACAAGCGCGAACTTCACTATCCTCGCTCGATTTCCTGCGAGTGAGATCGTGGAACTCGTAACCTAAAATCCTTATTTTCGTTCCTTCCTCTACCGAACCCAATGAAAAACTAGTCCACAACTCTTTATGTATATTCTGTCACGCTCCCACTCGGACCAGAAACATAATAGCGTCATTTTTACACGACGTCAAATCACTCGTAACACTTATTTCCCCCCATCTCCGGGCACAGCGAATTCAAGGATGACTTGGTCCACTTTTAAGGAACTCCCGATCTCTGCCCGCAATTTCTGAATTGTGGTTTTCTTGGGTGCTCTCAAAATGTTCTGCATCTTCATTGCCTCTACTATGGCTAGCTCCTGGCCTACCTCCACCACGTCTCCCTCCTGCACGGCCAGTGAGATAAGCTGTCCGGGCATGGGGCACTGGAGGTATTTGCTGTTGTCCACCTCCAACACTGGAAGCATGTGCTTCAGAAGCGCCTGCTCTCGGGGTTCGTACACCTCTACGCTCAAATATGCGCCGCCGTAAAAAAGATCATAGCCCAGAGTGCGACTCGCCAGGCACTGCAGCGTCCGAAGTCCTCCGTCCATGTGGGCCCGAAAGAGCGGCACTCCCAGCTCCCAATCGATGTCTCTTACGGTCACTGTCTGCGAACATTCTTCCTTACTCTTTTTCCCTTTCTCCATACCTGCAGTCAGAGGAACGACACGAATGACTGTGTCTGATTCCGTGGACGCGGCAGGGTCGATCGTCACCTCGTAGACTTCCTTCTCCTTGCTTCGTTCTCCATCCCCGCCCACCGTCTGCCCGCCCAGGTGCACAAAAAAACCCGCAGAATAGGCCCCCCTGGCTCCATGACTCGGCAACTGCCCTTCTACTGTGGAAAGGGTGTCAGCTTTGACCAGATGCATCAATACTGCCGAGGTTACCGCGTAGCGTTTCTCCTCAGCCGTCAACAGGACACCGTGAAAACCATCGGGAAATTCTTGGGGGATGAATTTGGTCGAGGTGGCTCCCTTTGCAAAGCGCGGGTGTCGCGCCAGTTCCTTCAGAAAACATAAATTATGTGACAGGCCCTGGATCACGTACGCGTCCAAGGCCTCGTTCAAACGTTCGAGGGCCTCTGCCCGCGTGCTCCCATACGAGACCAATTTCGCTATCATCGGGTCGTAGAACATGCTGATCTCGGAGCCTTCGTACACCCCTGTATCAATCCTCACTGCCGGCACCCCCCCCTCCACCTCCATCTCCATCAGATGCCTCGGCTCTCGATACGTGATCAAATGGCCCGTCGACGGTAAAAACCCTCGCAAGGGATCTTCGGCGTAAACGCGCGCTTCCATCGCCCATCCCTTGAAAGGCACGGGTTGGGCGGTCAAACGCCCTGGCAGGGCCTCTCCCGCCGCCACCCAGAGCATGTGTTCCACCAGATCCTCGCCCGAGACGTATTCTGTGACTGGATGCTCCACTTGCAACCGGGTGTTCATCTCCAAAAAGTAAAAATTCTGCGCATGGGGTAGGGAAAAAAAAGAGAAGGGTGGATATGGAGGTGGACTGACCCTCCCAGCCCCCCAAAAGACCTCAACTTATGGGCCGAGGGCTCTGCCTCCTCTCCCTACCTGGTCCTCATCCACCAGAAATTCCACCGTCCCCGCCGACCTGTACTTGACAGCGCGCGCTAGCATGGCCGCTTGCTCCTGCATGGCTCGCCTGGTCTCCGGCTTAAGCAAGACCGAGGGGCTTTCCTCCAAGACCTTTTGGTTCCGTCGTTGGATCGAGCATTCGCGTTCAGGGAAACAAGCCACGCCCCCGTGCGTGTCAGCCACCAGTTGGATTTCCACGTGGTGCGGATTTTCGATGAATTTCTCAACGAAAATCCGGTCGTCCCCGAAGGATTTCCGGGCTTCTTCCGTGGAGAGCCGGAAACCTTCTTTAGCCTCCTTGTCGTTGTAGGCCACGCGCATACCTTTCCCCCCCCCGCCCGCGGAGGCCTTGATCATTACCGGGTACCCAATGTCGGCGGCAATTTTGGCAGCCTCTTCGGCGTCCTTCACGATTCCTTGGTATCCTGGCACCGTGTGCACGCCTGCTTCCAGAGCCAATTTTTTGGAAGTGATCTTATCCCCCATAG